ACGCAGTCTCCTTTTCTTCTCTGTGATAGGATGCAGTAGAGAATGAATAATCCGTGCGTGTGATCTGGGGACCATAACCTATTTATATAGGGACGCCCTTTGACCTAATTCGGCCCATCATAGAATTAGGATTTGGGCCCGGTCTCTACACATATATAATCTCACACTTTAATTGGATACATTAAATCCCAATATCGAAGCCTTATTAGATCACTTTAATTGGGTTCAACCGAATTCGATAGTTTATAATTTAATACACAATTATTCACCCATCTATTGATTAAAAAATCCGTACACATAACTTATTCATAAAAAAATGTTCTTGAAACAGTTCTACATATGAAGTTCATAGAAATCTATTTATTAAACAAAGTAAACGTTTCGTAATCGAATTAAAACATTACGTCACCGGCTTCTCCATAACATATTGCATCTTCGTTTACCATCATCCACGCCCCAAGCAAATCAAATCAACCTGTAGGAAGGGAATTAATCCATAAGTTTGAAATTCAATAGATATCATCGGTGCATTTCGTTCTCAAACTAGAAATTTCAAACTATAGATTCGTACCATCGCACGTAGATGGATTTTCGGCAAAATCTAATTTCTACAGCATTATCACAACACGTAGAGCAGAAAAATGATCGTTCAACTATTGTAGTGTCGAAGCACCGTACCCGGAGGTACCATTTCATTCAAACTATAGTAGTACCGAAGCACCATACTCGAAGGTACCAATTCATTTAAACTTTTATTGAAAAATCAAGATTTGAAAACGAAATAAACACTTGCACCTCTATCTACCTTAATTTGAAACTTTGAATTGGACGGAATTGGACGTTGGATGCTGTTTCCCGACGGCACCCGAAGCTTAAGAAATTTGCTTCTCTCTTACGTTTTCCTTTCTCTTGAATGTTTCAAATTGTTAGAAATGAAAGTTTTACCTTCTAAACAAAAAACTCTAATTAGGTATATAATTCTCACGTAACTCCATGCAAATAAATTGCTTTTCGGTTTTGTCATTTAATTACAAATGTATGAGGTGTAAATAAAAGAGTTTTATGGATGATTTAATCATGTTTAAATTTATAATATCCCTTTCCACTTCCAGGGAGCTATAACGAATTGAAAATGAAGCTTTTCTTTTCCACACGTAACTTACAAGATTTAGAAAGGCACACTTAACTTACAAAATTCAAAAAGGCATCTTCATGTTAACTAGGATTAATGAAATAAATCACGAATTTAAAATCAATTAAAGGGAATGTTATGTTAAGGTTTAATTACCTTACATAACCGTGCCACGAAAATCCTATTTCATATTCTTATTATTTTATAATAATAAAGTATTTGAGAATAATACTTTTTCTTATAATCCGACACTTTTGAATAATAAATAATGCGTATGGAAATCAAATCTTAGAGATGCTTACTATACATAAATTTTCCTCGTCGGGTCAATCTTTGGGAAAAACATTAAATTCTGTCCATCTTCATTTTTTTTAATATTACTATAGACATATTGAACTAGTATTGGGCTTTAATTTCTTATATGGGCCGAGCCCAAGGTTCGTCTATGGGTTAGGCTCATGGTGCTGATCATCACATAAAAATATTATTATTTTGTTTTGGGCTTCTACTACACCGCCTCTTGCCATTTCCCATCTTCAACATAATCACGCGAGAGGAGTGCCTCGCTGTCGTCCTATATGAGAGGAGAGACAGGGAGAAGATAATTGGCCTGTCGGGGAGAAGATAATCGTCCTATGTAAGAGAAGCGTTTCGCTGTTGTCCGCAGCAAGGTGCCAATCGGCTTGCCAACGCCACCACTGTTGTTGAGAGAGGAGAGAATAAGGAAAAGATAATAGAGAGGAAAATAGGGACGGGGTCACGATGATGGGAATTAGGTTTTGTGGTGGGGTAGGTGGTTGAATAAATTCATACCTGATTTTTGCATAAATTAGCTTCACTCACGAATTTTGAATTTAAATGTTTAAATACCTGGTTTTACGTAATTTTCACTTTCCAAGTGGGCCAACTCAAAATAATTTGGACTGCTCCGTAAAAGCCCGGACTTCTCCAAGATGGAGTCCAGCCAATCTATGAGCTAACTAGCCATTAGTGGTGCGTCGGTCAAGGTTAATGTTCTGGCTTGATGGATAACTACGTTCTGATAAAACTAACTCTATATATATATATATAGACAATTTGAATTTTTTTTAAAATAAAACTCATAATTTAAAGTGCTTGATTACCCAATAATTAATGTGTCTTGCCATGATTATATATATATATATATATATAGACAATTTGATTTTTTTTTTTTTAAATAAAACCCATAATTTAAAGTGCTTGATTACCCAATAATCTAGTAGGGTTCAGAGAATTTTGCCAAATGAAGAATTGGCTCGTATTTAGTATTAAGGTGAATAAATAACTAAAGCAAATTAGTTGCTACATTCGTAAGATCAAGGTAAAATATTATTAAATATTGATTTTTTTTTTTTTTAATGAAAACAACATTAATCAAAAACAGAATTGGCTCAGACAAACTGGGTTTTGGACGGGCTAGTATATGATTCGGGTAGTTGAAAATATTCATTGGTCCGGGCTAGGCCCAAACTGGGTTTCAGGCCTGCTGTGCCTATTCTAGAAGTCAGCAAGCTAGTTCAGACAGACGTCCAATTTGAAACCTTTATCTACGATTTATATTGCCGAACAATGTCTAGTTCGAATGAGCAAACTAATGAACTGGTGGACTAGGTTTCAATTCCGATCAATTGGTCGTGTCATTGGCCTTGCAACACGAAAATAGGAATAATTTAATAGAATAGAGTTCAAGAATTGGTTAAACAGTTATTTTAAAGAGTTGTGCTTCAAGGTAAAATATTATTAAATATTGATTTTTTTTTTTAATGAAAACAACATTAATCAAAAACAGAATTGGCTCAGACAGACTGGGTTTTGGACGGGCTAGTATATGATCCGGGTAGTTGAAAATATTCATTGGTCCGGGCCAGGCCCAAACTGGGTTTCAGGCCTGCTGTGCCTATTCTAGAAGTCAGCAAGCTGGTTCAGACAGACGTCCAATTTGAAACCTTTATCTACGATTTATATTGCCGAACAATGTCTAGTTCGAATGAGCAAACTAATGAACTGGTGGACTAGGTTTCAATTCCGATCAATTGGTCGTGTCATTGGCCTTGCAACACGAAAATAGGAATAATTTAATAGAATAGAGTTCAAGAATTGGTTAAACAGTTATTTTAAAGAGTTGTGCTTCAAGATAAAATATTATTAAATATTTATTTTTTTTTTAATGAAAACAACATTAATCAAAAACAGAATTGGCTCAGACAAACTAGGTTTTGGACGGGGTAGTATATGATCCGTGTAGTTGAAAATATTCATTGGTCCGGGCCAGGCCCAAACTGGGTTTCAGGCCTGCTGTGCCTATTCTAGAAGTCAGCAAGCTGGTTCAGACAGACGTCCAATTTGAAACCTTTATCTACGATTTATATTGCCGAACAATGTCTAGTTCGAATGAGCAAACTAATGAACTGGTGGACTAGGTTTCAATTCCGATCAATTGGTCGTGTCATTGGCCTTGCAACACGAAAATAGGAATAATTTAATAGAATTGGTTAAACGGTTATTTTAAAGAGTTGTGCTTCAAGGTAAAATATTATTAAATATTGATTTTTTTTTAATGAAAACAACATTAATCAAAAACAGAATTGGCTCAGACAGACTGGGATTTGGACGGGCTAGTATATGATCCGGGTAGTTGAAAATATTCATTGGTCCGGGCCAGGCCTAAATTGGGTTTCAGGCCTGCTGTGCCTATTCTAGAAGTCAGCAAGCTGGTTCAGACAGACGTCCAATTTGAAACCTTTATCTACGATTTATATTGCCGAACAATGTCTAGTTCGAATGAGCAAACTAATGAACTGGTGGACTAGGTTTCAATTCCGATCAATTGGTCGTGTCATTGGCCTTGCAACACGAAAATAGAAATAATTTAATAGAATAGAGTTCAAGAATTGGTTAAACGGTTATTTTAAAGAGTTGTGCTTCATGTACAGAGACCAATCTTACAGGCATTTTCCAGAATACACACATATGTAGAGCCCACGTAATTTTATTTTATTTTAATACATGTGGGGCCCTTGCACAGTGAGGGGCCCTGTAAAACTTCTGTAACCCAAATTCTGTACACTGCGCATTAGTGTATTTTAAATGACAATGCTAAATTTTGTAAGCTTTTTGGGTGGAAAGTGCTCTGCACAAACATAAGAGAATGATACCGATAAAAATGCTACCCTTCCCCTCAATGGAAAAATAGTGAGGTTTCATCTTAAAGGATCAATTCTGATAAGAGAAGCAGCTCAATACATTTAACTCAACATTATTTGAGAAAAAAAAAAGCACGATTTATCTATTAATACTAAATTAGTCTATCATTGATTACAATACTACTCAGAACCTCTACTAATTTACAATGTTCTTGAGTGTGGATGAGCTAAAATTCTAAAACCCACTGTTAACGTCAATTAATAGTCATTCCTAATCGAAGTATCCAGATCTTTTACTAAAGATTCCCTTTTATGTTTCCGTAAAATTTTTAAATTTTAATATGAAAAGAACCATTTTTTCGAAGTGTTCAAAAATTTTCTTCTGATTTTTCGAAGTGCTTCGATTTCTAAAACATATATGTAACTATTATGCTTGCTGCGTTCACATGAATATTGTTCTACAATGACAGACCTTTTTCAAGTCAAATATTATCCGCTCGACTACAGAATATAAAATAAAAGAAACCGTTGCAACTTGATTTTAGATTATTCACTATCCGAAATTGTTTCCTTATATGGTACTGTTTTGTTTCCTTATAGGTTTTCACTATTTCGAAATCCTGTCTGGAAAACGAATTTGCTCCAACCAAGAATTTTCTATATATACTTATTCATGTAGGCAACAAATTTTATCTCTTTCTTTCTCACCAAAGTTTCTCTCATTATCAAGTTCTGCTGCTCTGTGAACTCTTGTGTTTACCGTCTTCTTCTTTCAAATCTTGAAATATGGAATACCATAGACGCCATACATTTATAGATATGGATTACCCTCCAGAGCCTGTCCATTCATCCATATCAACAAATCATCTTCTCGTCGAATTCCGTTTCCAGACCACAAAACGCTTGCTCAAGTATAATAATGTGGGACTCCTGGAATCTGTTACCGAAACTCAAGAACAAGAAACTTCGAAAACTATTTGTCTCGAATCATCTGCATTGTTCGCTGATTTGAAACAATTTGTCGACGTGGAACTCGCAAGTTATGATATAACACCTCGGAGCCGTCAACAACGACTTTCTAGTCTTCTGACTAGCTTCGCACTCTTGCGCTGGAAGAAGTTTATAGTAGTGGGTATAAGGGAGGTTCTTGAAATACGGTTGATTGAAAGGACATTGCAGGAGTCGTTCGAGGAAAGTGATGGCGTCGATATGGTGCCTACAAGCATGGACACGATCATGTCACTACAGAAGAAGGAGATGGAATATAAGAAAGATGGCACTGCGTTAGAAAGTTGCACGATATGCTTGGAAGATATCTCAATGGGGTCAGTTGTTTCGACCTTGCCGTGCAGGCATGTATTCCACGGTGATTGTATTTCAAGTTGGCTAAAAAGAAGTCACTACTGTCCTATTTGCCGGTTCGAGATGCCTATTGCTGTTGATTAAGCCTTTCTTGATGAATGTTTGCAAGAATCATAGATTTCAGAATTGTTTTGTAACTTGTTCGATTTTTGTTATTAGGTTTTTATTCTTGAAGTGTTTCAGATAAATGGCCTTTAAATTCAGTAGTTTTAGTTTATACTGAATTATTGATGCATTAAACCTTTTATTCTCGATTCCAATTAAACAATATTCAATAAAATTCAATCAGTATCTGTTAATTAATGATGCAGAATGGCAACTTGAATAATAATAAAATAGTGTTGTTAGTACGAATGAGTATTGCTCGAATTGTCGTCAGAATTATTAGAATCTACAAAATAACAAGAAAAGCTAAAATATTATTTATCAAAAGTGAAAGTAAGGTTTTCAAACCCTTACCAATTATTTAAAGAGTTAAAATGAATACTAATCAAATTGAAATCCTAGTTTTTTCGGTAGATAAATCTGAATAAAACTGAAATATTAAAACCAAATCTAAATAGAACAAAATGCTTCCAAAAAAAAAAAAAATCCTTTAAACTGATTGAAAATAGAAAAAAAAAATGACAAAATTAACCTCTAAACAATGAAATTTGACCTGAAAGTTGGACAAATTCACTCAAAAAAAATGTGGAGAATCGAAAAATGCTTTTTGATTGTACTAGTTCATGAAAGTCTGATAATCGAACTCTATGCCTTATTTCCGGGTCGGAGAGAGGGCTATAAAGATTCTTTACCATATGACCAAAAAGAGGAAAAGTTACGCACGTCTTCATAGATCCATCTTATTTCTTCTCTTTTCCAATTAATTTATGATTTTCTCTTTTGATTGTTCAGCATCATTTCCTTCCACTTTAAAACAATTCAACCATCCTGCATTTTCATTGAGATACAAACGTTATGAAATGAAAACTTAGTGGCTAAATTTGTAATAGCCAAGAAAGCTTTCCCTTCCACTTTAGAAGCTTTTTTGTGCCTTCCCTATTGTTGCACCGTAATCTTTTTATCCTTCCACTTAATATCTAGATATTCTCTCCACGTTTATGTCTAACATCCACATCTAACTGTTGTGATCTACCCAATAGAATATAACATTCATCCATCAAAACAACCACAAATAACTTCTAATTTGTAAAAGATCCCTATGAACAGATGTACTTTACAAATTCGAGTCACTTGAATAGACTGTCACTTATTAATCCAACCAGTTTGATAAATAGTCAGATATGGTTCGATTTGCAACTTCAAATGACCCACCAGTTTCTTGGCGATCAAATTTTCACAATTGCAACTTCCTATAATCAGTCTGCATGCAGCATAAGCATTTTAGAAATAAAATTTGCATGGGATATGGAGGGGCCGCTCAGCCTTAATTGATATTAAATAGCAAGAATTGAATTTAAAGGGGCAAAAGAGTTACCAAGGAGATAATGGGGGCGGTTATTAGCATAATTATCCAAAACATTTTATTATTTCAATAATACTAGACAACCTAAGTCCCTTGACAAAAGTAAGTTACAAAGTGACTTGTACGGTCAGGATTAAAATGAGGTGGACGGCTGTGATTTGATAATAGAAAATTTTGGAGAAAGTAGGCACCAAAAATCCAATCTCTCTACTGCGTAATGAAGAAAATCAAGGGCGCCACAACAATTTCTCCCATCTTCCACTAGCTAGAGCCGGTTCTGGCCCAAGGCCACCAAGGCAATGGCCTTGGGCCTCAACACATAGGGGGCCTAAAAAAAAAAAATGTGTCAAAGTCCAAAAATACTATGTTTTGTACAAAATTTATGGAATCCTTGCATTAAATATTTGCTTGAACATGAAGTAGTGCAAATAAAAGAAAGGTTGTCCCACAACCCAGTAATGACAATTTTTTTTTATTTGGTGTAATTATTCAAGGTTATTTTTTACTTTGTAGATTTGATTGCTTCTTTAGAATTTTTATTTCTTTTTAATGTAGAAAATTTTAGGTAATAAATAGTAGTCACCACTCACATGCCTCACGGGTTTTCAGAAGGCTATAATTCTATTTCTTGAATGAGAAATTTGATTCTTGAACAAATCAAATGGTGAGTGAGTGTCATCAGCTTAATGTTCTTTATCACGAGAAATTGTGTTTGAATCGACCATCATTGATGCTAACGGAAAAATTCACATATACATCCATACAAGATATTAATTCACATCTTACTATGTCATGATAATATTAACTAAAAATAATAGATTGATGGTTAAATATGTTTAAAATACTAGCTCCAAAAATTAAATCCCAAACCAGAATTTGTAACTGATGTAAATTTAAATTGTCTCATTCTAGTCCTTCCGTAAACAGAATTTAGTTCCAAAAAAAAAAAATAATAATAATAATAAGAAGTAAGATGAACGTACACGTTCATTGCATGCTAATCCAAATACATAAAATATTACTACGTTGAAAACACAAATGCTGAACCATATTAATCTTATAAAGCGATCGATACACATATTGTTTGACGAAATATTGTCAAGATTTTCACTATATCACTAGGTATGTTTCAATATAATTTATGGATTTTGGATGTGGAATATGAAAGGACGCTAATTTAGGGATTTTGTTCTTTAATTTGACATAATAAGGGCGTGTTTGTTGAAGTAATCTTAGCTAGGTAATGAATAGCTGATTATTTGTTTACTTTTTCACATTCCTTTTTACTATATAAAAACAGTGTGTATGGTTAAAAAATATTGAAATCACAAATATTTATTCAAAAGTAGGTGTGTGGCATAATTTTCTTTTGACGCTAAAGAAATTACTAAGCTGGTAAAAAAATTTATTTAGGGGCCTCATAATATTTCATTGCCTTAGGTCTCAAAATTTTTAGGGCCGATCCTGTCCACTACCTTCTGTCCGACTTTACATAGGGACAACTTTGAGAATGACTGGTGAATTCTTCCTTTTTTCCATAATAGCCTTTCCTATTAAAAGTACTATATTGCCCTTAATGAAATTATTTGCAAGATTTATCTTATATCTTTGAGGATTTATCAATCAGGCCCTATATCTATATTTTTTAATCTTTTGAACACCCTTAAATATTCTCTATATCTTGTTAGTTCTTTAAAGATTATAGATTGTCCTTTTTTAGTTATATATCCTCGAACTAATCCTTTTGAAATTTCTTCTTGTATATTTGTATGTTTAGTTATAATATCTTCTACTTTTCTTATTTCTTTATAAGTTATTACAGAATCAAATCATATATTATTTTTACAACTATAATCTATATCTCTATATATTTCTTCAATTTTTTCTTTACCAGCAGGAAATATATCATCAGATTTTTTATCTAGTTTAAGTAAGAACGAAACATCTTTTTCATCTAAAAATAAAATAAGATATTATCATCATTATTAGTGGAAGTGGATGCTTGTGAATTGTTCATGAAAATAATTAAAGCATAAGCATGTAAAAACAAGTAAATAACTTACAGTAATCAAGTGGAAATAAACAGGCTTTCCCTCCAGTATGTTCTTATAGATGCTTTACATGTACTTAATCAGTCTTCTGAATCAAGTAAAGATTTAAAATGTTTTGAAATCATTTGGGTCCACAACTGCTTCCGCAAAAGGCTTTTCAATTAAGGTTGCACTTCTCATTCTAGAGAATTAGCCGTGTTTCCACAAACACTATCTCACAGTATCCAGAGTCTCTGCTTTTATCTCTATCCAAATTCTTTTCAGAATCAAGTTCCTACTTGGAACGAAATTTTAAAAGATAACTCACACACAAGGTGCTACAAATTTTTGTTAGAAAACTGCTTTTTTTCCCCTAACCATTCATTAAAGACGGGTACTTTGGCATGGCTAACATCCATTCAAAATCATTGTTTTGAAAATCTTTTAAAATCTCTATCTGTACTGCCGAGGAATCATGAGAAACTTAACGAAATTCTTTTATGAAAACTTTGTTGAACATAACAAACTTTACTTATTCATAAATTGAAATTGTACATGCTTACAAACTATATTTACATACCTTTGGTACTCACCTTATGAAGTTTAGAACTCCATAAGTGATTACCTTATTACAAGCTTTCCTATCTTCAAGCTATCTAATATTTTTTCTGAATACAAGTGGTGTATACAGATTACAAAAGATTTCTCTTCAATGTGTTTAAGAGATAAGCTATTTCGAGATGTCTTCCTCCTTCCTTCATGCCCCCTTTTATAGGAGATTTTGGAATCTTATCTTGGACAGGTGTTTTCCTTCTTTCTTTGTTGGGTAACTAGGCCATCTTATCTCCACCGAATTCTTCATTGTCTTCTTGTTGGGTGGACCACTTCTTTTGAAAGTAGATGCCTTATCTTTTGAGTTTGTCTGCCACTTGTAACTATTGGTGAGGAGTAGTTACAATTATAGAGACTTTTCTTGTATTATCTTCTGTCTTCTAGTAGCCACAGTTTTTCTTTAATAAATTTCTTTATTAAAGTAGTGATAAAGGGCTACTTAGTCACCATCACTTCTCCATTTTCGAATCAAAGAATTCTGCAGGGAATTCTTCATCATTAAGGGATGCTTGACTCATATCTTCAACAACACAGTATTCACAATGGTGATCACTATAATTCCAAAGTATTTTGCATAATTCTTTAGCCATATCTTCCGATCCATTCACTTGGTTGGATATAATTGCAGATAATAGATGGTCGAGATAACAAATATCTTCCTCTTTGGTATCCATCCTTGTATTGGAATAGATAATATGATCTTCAGATGGATAAACCCATATTTTTTCTTTCTCAGTAATTATCTGGGTTACATGTTTAAATATCTCTTTATACCATTTTGCTCTTCTATAGGGCATCATATTAAGAATATCTTGATATCCATTTTTGACAACCTTTTGATTGGCTGGTAAAAAATGTTGATTTGTTAGTCCCATTTTGATCACATGGAACGATGGATGCATATATTCAAGGGCAGGATCCCATTCCATTGTTACTGAATGGAATCTGATATATATATTTGTTGTTTTAACAACTTCAGTATATCTTTTAACAGCTTTCCTAATGTTGACTGGAAGCTGAGCTATCTCCTTGAGATCTTTACTAGGATATATACAAAGTATATTTCCTATTTC